AGCTTGTCCGCAGACAAGTCGCGGACAAACGCCCGAGATCCCCAGACACGGAACGCAGACGCATCGCCAGCCTTCCCCGTCCACAGTAAAGCAGGGGAGGTCTCCGGCATGGAGACCCAGAGGTGAAGGTTGATCTGATGCGCCGCGTACCGAACCGCAAACGGCCACAGAAAATGGGGGGCAGCCGCATGGACCATGGACGTACGAGCGACGTCCATGATCATGCCAATGCGGTGCTCAGCAATCCCATTTTGCTGTGGAGAGTCCGGAAGCGTGAAGGTCTGGCGGATGCCTCGTGCACGACAGAAGGCCCGCAGAAGGTCAGAGGAGAACTCTCCGCCTCTGTCGGAGTGCAGACGCAGAACAGGAAAGTCCGAGCCGAAACTCTCCCGGAGCTGGAGACGAGCTGCGCGGATCCAGGCGATCAACACCTCAGTGACGTCACCCTTGCTGCGCAAGGGGAAGACTGTGGTGTAACGCGAGTAGTCGTCAACCACCAACAGGAAGTAACGCTCGTGACCCTGCCCACGGACGCGGGCTGGGCCCCACACGTCCATGTGAAGCGTCTGCAGCGGAGCCTCTGTCGGAGGAAACTCGGAGGAGTGAGGAGCAGCGCGCTGCCGCCCCTCGACGCAGGGAACGCAGGTGGGGGCAGGCCCCGGAGGAAGGGGAGGGAGGGACCGGGGGAGGCCAGAGACAAGAAGACGGGAAGCCATGCCTCGAAGACGAGGCAGGGAGGGGTGACCAAGGCGGTGGTGCCAAAGGAGAGTCCGGTGGGACAGGAGACGACACGAGCAGGGGGCAGACTCAGGGCCAGACCTGGACGCCGCAGCAAACACCTGACCCGACGCTGCTACCTGAGCAGACTCAGCGACTGGAGGAGACTCAGTAGTGAGTGTGTACAGGCTCGACCCCGGCTGACGGGTAAACGTGGCCAAGTGACGGCCCGACCGAGCACAGGTACAGTGGGTCACTCGCTGACTCGCAGGAGTGAACTGGTGAACCCCTGCATCCTGGAGGTCAGCACCACTCACCAAGTTCGTAGAGAACGAGGGGAGGTAAAGACCTGACAGGGTGCCAGAAGGGGCCGCCGGACACGGTAGGACAGTGGAGAAGCGGGCAAGGACAGGGCCCCCAGAGGGGTCTGCCAGGGAGACCGCCACTGGCCGACTAAGCGGCGTGAGCGTGGTGCAGTCTCGAAAGAAGGAGCGGGAAGCACCCGAGTCAAGGGTGAAGGTGTGGGTGTCCGGAGACGACGCAGTACCTGAGAGCGCAGACTCACCGGCACCTGGGGCGGCAGACGCACTGGCACCTAGAGCAGCAGCCTCACCAGCACCTAGAGCAGCAGCCTCAATGCCCGGGTCAGGCGGAACACACAGGTAACAGTCACCCTCATCACTAATAGTCACAGCATACATGGCAGCAAGAATAGCATCATAATCAAGATCAAAGATCGCAACACCCGCCCTAGACAGCTCGCCCCAGCGAGGGATCTCAGTAGCGTCGGGGAACTGGTGACGCCAAGCGTCCGTCAGACGGCCGAAACAGCGCTGGGTGGAGTGCGCCCCCCCACACTGCTCACCCGCGCGGTCGCCGGTACGGAGAACGTAGGTACAGGGGCCAGCACCCCCGCCCCGCTGACGAGCAGTGTACCACTCACGAAGCTGCTGGGGGGAAGGGGTCTCACGAGGACGCTGCTGCTGCTGCTGCTGGCGCTGACCACCACCGGAGCCGACCCTCTGCGTAGAGCCGCCCCGACCCGCTCCACCTCCGCCGCCGCTACCTCCACCACCGCCTCCTCCTCCGCCGCCACTGCCTCCACTAGTGCCCCCACTCCCACCACCACTCCCACCGCCACCCCCACTCCCTCCGCCTCCTCCACTGCCGCCTCCACCGCCTCCGCCAGCTCCCCCAACGCCCTTGCCCCCCTTGCCCTTGCCTGAGCGGCGTCTCCCGCTAGGGGTAGACGCCGCACCGACCGACTCAAGACCAACGAGGTCGGCCGCAGCAGTAGAGGTAACAGAGGGCAAGAGGGGGGAGGGGGAGCACCCCTCAAAGACAGGGGTACGAGGGTCACCACGAGAGGCTCCTACAGCAACTATGCTCGTCTCTGCTGCTAGGAGACGCTCCTCGAGGAGATCAACAGTGAGAGTGGTGGGGCAAACAGAGAGAAAGTGGTCCCTGACCGAGCGAAGGGTGTCAGGGAGCCGGGTGACTATGTAGTAGAGGGTGATGTACATGGGGGGGGGTTCTTGGCGCAGAACTCAGCAGTAAGTGCAGCGCGGTAGCGAATGTCACTAGTGCGAAGGTGTGCAATGAGGTCAGCGACAGTGGGAAAAGCGGCGAGGTCAGGGAAGAGGTACGGCAGCATGAGGCGGCTAAGCGCAGCAGTGGCAGGGGAAGAGTAGCGTGCAACTACAGCGTCGTACAAGGTCTTAGCACTCTTGTACTGACTAAAGTGCGCACGCTCAGCGGTCGGCAAGTGGCGGCGCACAGCAAGGCGGGCAGCAGCATCGCGCGTGGCCCACTGTGAGCGAACAGTGGCGTCAGCATCAGCAGCAGGGGAAGGAGAGGCACCAGAAGTGAGGTCAAAGAGGGAGAGACCGTCTGCCCTATCGCACTGTAGGAAAAGCTGCAGATCATCTACCCAGACCTCAAAGTCAACAGCCCGACCCTCAGCGTCAAAGGTGAGAACACTGGGGGTGGCCATGACAGCAGTGGCAGCAGTAGCAGCAGTGGCAGTAGTGACAGCGCAGTGCGGCGACACTCTTACCAGGGCAGAGAGCCGCAAGTGGTGGGGCAGGGCCGAGGCGCACCGGCAGGGACGAGCCGAGGCGCGCAGGTAGGGCCGAGGCGCACCAGCAGAGGCGGGCCGAGGCGCGTCGGTAGGGCAGAGGCGCACCGGCGGCTACAGTCAGCGGCGGCGGCGGCGGCTGCGGCCCCGAGGGAGGTGGCGGCGGCTGCTGCTGGTAACGGCTGCTGCAGCTGCGGCTTCCGCTGCAGGGACGGCGGCGGCTGCTGCTGCAGGGACGGCGGCGGCTGCTGCTGCAGGGACAGCGGCGGCTGCTGCTGCAGGGGCGGCGACGGCGGGCCGCGAAGGGCGGCGACAGGGCCGTGAGAGGCCGCGAAGGGCGGCGGAGGGGCCGTGAAGGGCGGCGCGAGGGGCCGCGGAGGGCGGCGACGGGCCGTGAAGGGCGGCGCGAGGGGCCGCGGAGGGCGGCGACGGGCCGTGCGCGAGGGGCCATAAGGGGCCGCACGAGGGGCCGTAAGGGCGGCGCGAGGGGCCGTAAGGGGCCGCGCGAGGGGCCGTAAGGGCGGCGTGAGGGGCCGTAAGGGGCCGCGAAGGGCGACGCGAGGGGCCGACGAGCGGCGCGAGGGGCCGTAAGGGGCCGTAAGGGCGGCGCGAGGGGCCGTGAGAGGGGCCGCTAAGGGCGACGCGAAGGGGCCGTGAGGGGCCGAGAGAGGGCGCGACGGTAGGGAGGGCACACGGGGCGCGACTCGGGCAGGAGCAAAGCGCGCTCCGGGCAGGAAAAAAAAAATCGTGGTGGGCCCTAGGAAGCGTTCCCACTAGGGAACCTGCTCTATACCATGTGAAGAAACGAGGAATGGTGTGACTAGCAAGAATGGGAGTACAAATATGCAACCCTAGAATTGTGTACCCCCTAAGGCTAAACCCACTGTAGCCTACAAAGCTACAACACATATAATGTTTGACATTGACATGTGCACAACTTGTTCGGTTCGGGGAAGCTGGTGAAGCACAGTGCGTACGAACAGCTTGCCGTTAAATTTTCGGGTGTGTACGTGCTCTGGGCTTATAGCGGGATTACACTTACAAAGTATTTTTGTCTGCGCGTTAAGTAAATTATTTAGCGCGTTTTTTCATTCTCGCGACTGGTCGCTACACAAGATTTTTCTGTTGTAGCGAAGATTTTTATGTTTTCGGGGATCTTTCTGTTAAAACCTTAAACCCTAAACGCAGCATTTTAATCATGTTATGCTGCGGGAGGCGAGCGAGACGGATCATCTCATCGGGATTTTCCTCCCGATTTTCATTAATCTATAGGGGGGGAAAACTTCGTGGAGGCGAGGGGAGCATTTTTTGGGCGAAACACTCCCGTAATCCTCCATAACTCAGCCACCCACTCCCGTAACTCCCCCGCCCGATTACGGAGTGATAAAACCTAGGAATCACTATGGGTCGCGCGTGCCTTAATTCGTATACGTCGGAGCCACAGAGGCAAGCGCGGAACCCAGGCGCAACCCCAATGCGGATTGCGTCGGCTCGAATTCTTCCACGATGGATCCACGTACGTTTTTACGGATCCACTCGAATTCTTCCACGACGAATTCTACACAAGGGTTAGAGAGAGAGAGAGAGAGAGAGAGAGAGAGAGAGAGAGAGAGAGAGAGAGAGAGAGAGAGAGACGAGAGAGAGAGAGAGAGACCAAGAGAGAGAGAGAACGAGAAGAAAGAACGAGAGAGGAGGGAGAGAGAGAAGAACAAAGAGATAGAGAGAGAAAGATGTAACATGTTGGAAATCCGAATACAGTATAACGAATACTGTATATCGGTATGCTGTTCGGTTTTTGTGTAGTCCTCTTTATAAGCCTCCAGGGCCTACAATAATTGTCACAATTATTGTAGGCTCACAATTATTGGAGCTCAGCATTATTGGAGGGTAGAGGGTACAATTATTGGTACACCATTATTGGTGTGATTGGGGTCATTCTAGGAGGGGTAGCTGGATGCATAAATACCCTGCTGTGTGTCACTTAATCACAAAAATAAATTCTCAAGCTATTTCCAATGCAAGCTTTCTATCTTGTTCTTTCTACACGTTTCCACTATGTCGGCAATATGCCTTTCTAGCATAGCATAGGGGACAAAAACAGGAGTTCTACTACGTTTACCGAATGAATGTAAAATAATATAAGAAGGTAACAAGAGAAGAAGGGTGGAAGGAAAGAACAAAAAGCAAGACATCGAAGCCAGGAGAAATGACGCTAAATGAGGTGCTGACTGTATGGAACGAAGAACCAGAGAAACACAATGAACTAGAGCGGAAAGGAACTAGTTCGGTGGAAAAGAAGAAGAAGAAGAAGAAGAAGAAGAAGAAGAAGAAGAAGAAGAAGAAGAAGAAGAAGAAGAAGAAGAAGAAGAAGAAGAAGAAGAAGGAGAAGAAGAAGAAGAAGAAGAAGAAGAAGAAGGAGAAGAAGAAGAAGAAGAAGAAGAAGAAGATCAACATCCAGGGAGCCTAGATATACGAAAAACCAATCATAGAAAGGTAAGGAGATAACTTGAAGTAACTACAAAAAGACTAAAACATACGCTCAAACAGCCTGTCGTCTATTAAAACGACAGGATACAACACTTTCAGAACATAGTCTAACTAACCGTCACCTGTCTTAGTCCTAACTTATAGAATAGGCTTCTGACCTTTGAGTGGTAGGTGTCGAATGGGTAGGTAGAGGGCGCATAATGAGGTAGAGGCTCCGCTCTGCTAAGGAGAGGATTCAAGAGACAAAAAGGACGAACTAACTCAAAAATGGAGTATGCGGTACTTGAGATGGAGGAGTCGTCAGTGTAAGAAGAATTAGAGGAGAAAAAAGACTAGGTAAAATAGGAAAAACAGAGCCTAAATGAACCGGAGGAGAGAAGTTAGAGAAGAGAGTATGCGTGAAGGCTACGAAAAGTAATTTTGGAGGAGAAAGGAACATAGAAAACAACCTACTGAGCAAGGAGGGGAAAAATAAAGTAGAGGATAAACGTAAATTACGACCATGGAAACAAAACCGAAATGAAGGAGCTGAGATAATTGGAAAACAAAACAGAGTGAAACTACTCGAAGTCGACTATATACTTCCTCTAGCTATCTAAGATGCAATATAGGAAGAAAACGAACGTACCAGTATGTCCTGGAGAGAAGCCAAGGTAAGAACTAGCTCAGCTGGGGAGAGGAAACGAGCGAGACGAGATCAGGAAGAAATGAAACCCTAAGTTGTGCAGGCTTCCGCCGTTAAAACATGTGCAATAGTATTTAATTTGAAGCATAGAGACGAGGCCACGCCCAGTGGAGTAGAAAAGAACGAGCGTCGGAGAAGTTTCGGGTACAAAACATTCAAACGTTATTTTAAGTCGACGTGTTTTTTCTGGAAAGAAAGCTCAAATGGAAAGATACAACTCCTATCCGTGTAAAGTGAACCCTGTTAGAAACACAACGTATGTTATGTAAAGCTCACACATTTTACAGAGACATACATTGAAATAATACTCATTTGTTAGGCGGCACTCTCGCGGCGATATAAGTGCAAAAGTATTATGAACTACTATTACTCAATCAAACTCCTAATTACATAATATATCGCATAGAATATACCAAAATGAATGCCTACCATGTCTTTCTACGAGCATTACATAGCAAAACAGTATGCTAATCAAAATTCAAATGGTAACTGTTAAATCTAAGTACTTGTGCGGAAGTGCTTAGAACTTCACAACAAGCGTAAACTCAGCAACACTTAACTTCCCTTAATGCCCTCCGAGTGTGACAACTTGTCACCTCCCAGCCAAGGGCATAGTCTAAGGGAGTATTTATGCCTTGCTTAGCTCGTAGGAAGAGTAAGCTGGTCGAGCAGCAACGTTTCTACCCTCGTCAATACGTAGTGATAGAATTCGGAATGAAAGCATAATCGCATTGTTGAAACAAGCAAGTAACAAACACGCATATTATACTAACTCCTAGGCACACACAAGGAGAACACAAGACAGTTGTTTAACTGAAGTCCAAGACTTCGCCAGATACGCCAGAGAAAACGGTTGTCAAACAGCTGCGGAATTTGGCTTGTTTAGCTTCTTGAAGAAAACTGCCTTCAAATTTCATGTCTGCCAAACACCCCTTGTTGGCAATCATGAGCATCCGTATGAGATTACCATTTTTACGAAGTCTTAGAGCGTGTTACACCTGCCCTAATCCCAAGGATCACGTAGCCAATATCACCAACACCCCAACCGTAGGATTACGAGTGGCCAAACAACATTGTTTTGGTACACATCACGATCCTTGTTGGTGTACCATCTGCAAATTTGCAATGGTGATCCTCTGCGACCAGGCGACGTCGCCTGAAATGAAACGACAGTCGCGATCGTCGGATATTTTTGTTGACCACGTTGACTGCGTTACTGATCCTAAATTAACAGCCTTATTGGTTCGAACTTCATTAGAAAAATGCTCTGATTAGTCGCAATCTTGTTACAACAGTTTGCGACAACAAAAGTTTCGTCATCAAGGATCACCTTGTCTTTGGTACAAAGATGCAAGGATCACCGAGAGATTGGCAGTCACCACGATCTCCCAAAAAACACCAAGATCGGGTATCACGATCTCTCGTGATTTCGATCCTTCCTCTGTTGGTACATCACCTGACACAGTGATTACTGTACAGGGGTAGGTATGACACTGTTCCGTGAGGATTGCCTACGTGATCCTTAAGATGCAGCAATCTTTGCGTGGGTGTAACACGCTCTTACGGTTGAAAAACGAAGTTCATCGTTTTGTCCCTGTATCAAGAATGTCGCGTTATGCGCGCGATATTTCAGCGAAGTAACATGTTCTCCGAGTCAACGCGGGATTCGGTTTTTCAACTGTACACAAGATGCCCAACCCCTGCACGCGAATTTGCCCTGCACGCGAAAGAAAGCCTGCACCCGTGTATTTTGCGCCAGCCAGTTGCACCCCATTTACAAGCACCTAGAGCAAGATGCAGTGATTTGAACCAATTCAAACCACAGAAACCAAAGTTTGACTGAAGAGACTGAAGTCAAACAGTCAACAGCGAGTTACAAATTTTTTTATAAGCCCTTTTTGCTAGGTGCGAATTGACGAAAGCTCAGCGAAATGCAAAATTCACATATTGCCCTCTTCAGAAGGCAACCTTGGGTTATTCAAACGAGCATCATGTGTAATCCCACGCACCCTCATGACCGCAATCATGCACGATCGAGATTTTGGTCATGCGGTACTGTGCACTGACGTGCGCAGTACTGCGTTGGCAGGGCGATCATTCGCCCTGTCTTGTTGCAATCGTGCCCTCAGTGCACGCTAGCAACAGTGCGAGGCACACGCGCGGGCCTGCGGACCCACATGCACGATCAGAACCCCACGCGCGGGTTCTGACATTTCCGTACAGTTGACTTAGACTGACGCGATAAAGATTCAGGGGTCTTGATTGACCCCTCGTGAACACTCGCGAATCTTCATGAGTCTCGCTTTGTGGGGACTCGTGTGTCAGAAGTAGTAGGCAAAGTTTAGAAACAGAAAGAGAGGTTTGGACTAGCAGCAGTTGAGATACAAATAGCAAACCCTAGATTGGGCTGTACTCGCTATAGAGTACCCCACTGCAGGCTAGACAAATACAACATTCTGACACACCCCCATAGCCAAAGTGGGGTGTAATCAGCACAACAAGCAGTCATAATAGTAGTTCACATTTTATGAGCAAAGCTAGAGGCAGTCACAGAGGGCAAGTGAGGAGGAGGAGGGCTGGCGAGAGTGAGCGGGCGACGGGGGCGTTTCGACGGGCGACGGGGGGCGCTCCGACGGGCGACGGGGGCGCTTCGACGGGCGACGGGGGGCGCTTCGACGGGCGACGGGGGGCACTTCGACGGTGGGAAACCGCCGCGCGCCTCGGGGCGCACGGTAGGCAGAAAACCGCCGCACGCCCCGAGCGTACGGCAGGAAGGAGGCGTCGCGCGACCGAGGCGCGCGACAAGTAGAACAGCAGCGGAAGCATTAGGTGGTGGGCCCACCCACAGGATCGACCCAAGGGGGTCGACCTGCTCTGTGTCAGGATTGAGAGGAATGGATGATCGATTAGGTTAGGGGAGGGGGTACAAGAGAGTGTCGAGAGAATAGAAGTACCCTCTAAGAAACACCCCTACACAACCTAGAACTAAATTATAACAAACATATAATTTGACACACCCCCATAGGTGAAGTAGGGGTGACAGCCAAACCTAACAGTGGTCACAAGACCAGTCAAACAGAAGAGCAAACAAGACAAAGCTCAGGGTGGATCTCAAGGACACCACACAGTCTGAGCACAAGCAGGTGGCCACAAGGCCAGTTCACATGCAGGTTTATAACAAAGCAAGAGATACAGTGATCACAACCTAGCAAGAGTAAACATGCAGGTATATATATATATATATATATATATATATATATATATATATATATATATATATATATATATATATATATATATATATATATATATAGTGATCACAGTACAAGCAGGGTCAAGAAGTAAGCAAGTGAGGTCCAGTAGGCACAAGGCCTAGCAGAGTGCAGAAACGCTGATGGTCACAAGGCTGAAGCGCCTTGGTGAACACATCAGCAGTGTTGGCCTCAGTGGCCACGTAACGCAGACGAAGCTGACCACGCTGCTGCAGCTCTCGAGCAAGGAAGTACCGCAGGGCGATATGCTTCGTTCTGTGCTCCAGTCTGTGCTCCTCACACAAGGCAATAGCAGCCTGGTTGTCGACGTACAGCACTGGAGGAGAACGAGGCCTCTCTCCCAAGTCGGTCAGCAGGTAGGTCAGCCAGCGAAGCTCCTGGGCAGCCATGGCTGTGGCGTAGATCTCAGCCTCGCAACTGGAGCTGAGAACAGAAGAAGAACGCGTAGAGCGCCAAGAGACAGAGCCAGAGCCAAGGCTGAAAGTGTAACCCTGAGACAACCGCTGAGTAGCCTGGTCGTCTGCCCAAGAAGCGTCTGAGTGTCCAGTGAGCACAACTCGGTCTCGCCCTCCAAGCACTAGCCCCATGCCCGACGCACTGCACAAGTAGCGCAACACCCTCTTAGCAGCATCCATGTGCTCCTTCCTGTGACGGCCAGGAGCGACATAGCGTGCAAGGATGCTAAGAGGGTATGCAAGGTCAGGTCGAGTGCAGGTCATCAGGTACATGAGGCAGCCCACAAGCTCTGGATACGGGCCACTCGGCTCTACGGACTCATCCGAAGGCAGAGCTGAGAGCGAGTGACCGGTAGGCAGAGGAGTGGACTGAGGCGAGGAGTACGTGAAGCGGAAGCGCTGGAGAACCTGCTGCACCATGTGTGACTGAGTCAGGGTGATGGTGCGCCGTGCTCTGTCCCGGGTGATCCGCAAGCCAAGATAGCTTGTCAGCTCACCCAAGTCTGTGCACGTGTGTCTCCTCTGCAGCTCCGACTTCACGTAGGCGAGTCCTGCAGTGTCAGCAGTG